TCATGGGACCAGTGCCTTCTTAAGAAGAGACAACAGCCTTCTCTCTCCCGACCCCGCTCCCTGCCCCTGTGAGGGCGCAATGAGAAGGCAGCTATTTACAAGGCAGGAAGAGAGTCCTCACCAGGAAGCAGCCGTGCTGGAGGCTAATCCCAGACTTCAGCCTCCAGAACGGTGAGAAATCAGTTCCTGTGGGTTGAGCCACACAGCCTACTGTCCTCTGTCATGGCAGCCCCAAGATAGCCAACGCGCTGGCAACAGACAGCTGGACCACGAGGACCCAACTGATGCCGCCACAGAGAAGACTTAGCCGTGGTTAGGCATTGACATGGAAAGGGAAAACATGTGTTCAGTTTAAGACAGTTTAGCTATTTTGTGCACAGGTCAGCTTCCAAAAGAGAAGACAGAGAACTCAGATAAGTTGTTATTGTGGCGTGTTTTCTGCAGTAGAATGTTAGTTTAAAGCCTGAGATGAGGTTATTAATAAGAACAATACTCTGCAGCTGTGTGGTACTTTTCCTTCGAGAAGAGGTTTACAAAACCAACCTGCAGGAAACAAATATTCATGACTACCACCTGCACTTTCAAGATGAAGAAGAAATCAGCTACAGAGATACTTTTTTTTAAAGGGAAGCTTCTGCAAGGTCACGCATCAAGGTAATGGAGGAACTAGGAATAGAAATCCACCGTCAGGCTCCCTCCCGCCAGCACCGCCGCGTCCATCCCGCCTCCGAGAGGCCGCTCGATGGCCCTCAAAGAACAAAATGTGAAGTCCTTCAGCTCCCACATCCTGCCTCATTGCCACTGGGTCTAAAATTCTTGGAACCATTTCCAAAAGTTGTTTTCTGCTTTGGGCAATCATCACATTCACATTCCCTAAGAAGACGGGGACGACGGCCCCTGCCACACACACGTACTGCAGGCACGGTGCCTCCGGGTTCGTCGGGACAGCATCCCAAGGCAGGAGTGGTATTAGCACCCCGGCTTACAGACAGGAGCAAGCCAGGCCTGGAGCAGGTGAAATAATTTTCCCAGTATTTCATGCTCAGGATGAGCCTCTGGTCAAGGTCACTAGAAAACAAAACCTTTCAAAGCAAACACAAATGCATTCCGCCCAAGATGGGAGTGCTGAATCCAGCTACGCTACTAACAGTGACAGCTTGAATTTCTGGTATTACAAGTTCAGCTGTGTCTCACAAAAAGATACACTAGAGTCCTGAGCCACGGCACCAGCGTTCTCCTACCAGGGAGGCGGGAGGCCTGAGGTGCAGAGACAGCTGTCCAGCAGGTTCACTTGGTATGCGAGTTTTACGTGTGCGTCTTAAAGAGTGGCAGGAAAAAACAGAGTGGCCTTTGCAGCAGCCTCAGATTTCTGTCACCATGTGGCTGATCAGCGAGTGACCTCGAAGCCCTGCTGGCCTGGAGGTCCGGAAGCCGCACCCCCACAGAAGCTTTCTGCTTCTGAGCTGTGCAGAGTTGGGGGGCCGGCCTCAGGTGCACACTAAGCTGAAGTGGATGCCGTGGATCTGGCAGGAACCCCCACCCTCCTGCCCTGCGTAACCGCACCTTCCTCACACCCCCGACGTGTTCTAGACACACACCTGCTGGGGTCAGAAGGAACCAGGCCCCCAAGCTTGGTGAATAATGGCGATGGATACACCCGCCCTGCTGGGGGCTGGGAGCTTGTGGTGCTTCCTGACACTTGCCCAACTCTTCCCAAATCGTTTAGACTTCCTTTTAGATATTTTATTGATTATTCCTTGATTATCAATACTGAATTGATAAGCCATACACACTTACAAAAGCGTTCAAGCATTTCGCAATTGTATGATGCATCATTGGACACTTCCCTAACACCTTCCTCCAAAGGTAACTATAATTACAAGCTCAGTGTCATACTCTGGGTCAGCACCAACGGGTTTTCAGTTGTATGTTAAGTGAGAGGATGAGGAAGAGGGAAAACTGGAATGCAAGGGTACCGGGATTTTAGGACTTGTGAGGTTGAGGTTTCTTGACTTCACTTGCTCTGCTCTTTCCCCCACACCGTATTTAGGCCCTGAGTGAGGGAGCCCTGGGATGTCCCAGCCAAATGTCCACTTCGGGTCTAGGTGTTCGTCCCAGATGTCCTCTCCAGGGCTATGTGTTCGTCCCAAATGTGTGCTCTGGTGCAAAGGCCACTCTGTTTCTTCCCGCTTCCCTTTAAGACACAAATGTAACCCTTGTATCCCGAGCGAATCTGCTGGACCTGTTCTTCCACACCCCAGGCCTCCCATCTCTCTGATAAGAGTGCGCTGGCCCTGTGGTTCGCGACTTTAGCATGTTTTTCTGAGAGACATAGTTGAACTCATAACACCTGGAAATTCACAGTTGAACTCATAACATTCAGAAACATGAGTTCAACTGTGAATTTCTTTTTGGTTTTGAGAGAGGGTCTCACTTTGCCACCAGGCTGGAGTGCAGCGGCACGATCATAGCTCGCTGCAGGCTCTGCTTCCTGGGCTCAAGTATCGTCCCACCTCGGCCTCCCACGGTGCTGGGATTGCAGGTGTGAGCCACTGTACCCAGCCAGTTTCTGTCTCTTAAGGAGCTGAGCTAGAGTCATTCAGGGAAATACTGATCGCTGTCCTTTTCTCCTGGGCCTCGTCTGCTCCCTCCTTTCTTCTCCAGCTGCCTGTCCTGGCTTGCTGAGCGCACAGACATCAAGACTTCCAAGTGTAAGGCTGAAGAAGTTCCTTCCAAAGCCAGTTTTCAAGAAGAATCCCCGAAATCTGGAAACTGCTTCACAGTACACACTCGTCTGCCCCAGGTGGGGATAGGAACCCCCCTTCCAGTCTCTCTAGGGAAACAATAAATGCTTGGTGATAAACTGGTTGGCCTGCTGAGTGAAGCTCAGAGGAAGATTGATGGATTATACAAACATTTATTAAAGACGGACTATTTGCGGTGGGAGGTGCACAGAATAAGGGTGTAGAACAGAGTTTCTGCCTTCTTAAACCGTAAAAGTAAAATCGAGGAAGAGAGGTGGAGCCTCAGCATGGAGGCTGACACCCGCTGGGCATCACCCAGGGCAGGCTGCTTGGAGGAACTGACCCTTACACCGGGCCTTGAGCAGTGGCAGGCCCTGGCCAGGGAGAGGGTGTGGGTGTGTGCTGTGGCCAGGCGGAGGAGACCCCAGCCACGGGGGCCAGCAGCGCAGAGTCCTGGGGAGAAGAGAGCCGAAGAAGCCCACCGAGGCAGGAGAAGAGAGGAGGAACAGTGCTGCTCACACGTGACATTCCTACGAGGCTTTCGAGTCAAACAAGCATAGTTCACGTCTTGGCTCTGCCGTCTTCGGCTGGTGACCTTGAGCAGGTGACTCATCTCTCCTGAGCCCCTGCGTCTTCATGGATGAATGTGGGTGACAGCACCTGCTGTAGAGGGCAGGTGAGGGTTGGGTGAGTGTGGAGCGTGGAGGCCTTTACCGAGCGGGCCCCGTCTGCCTGTCACGCTGCCCACACTCCATCCACCCTCTATCCACCCGGAGCTGCCCATGGTTATCCCAGCACAGCAGCCCCTCCAGCCGTGCACCCGCCCTGCTTGCCGGAGGCTGGGCCCTTTCTCCATCTGGGAAGCTTCTGCCCTCCTTCCAAGCAGCTGAAGCATGGCCTCTGGATTCCAACCCTGCCACCCAGCCGTGACCCACAGAGTCAGCGCCCCTCCTCTGTGTCCTGTGTGCGTCTGCCTGGTGGCCTTTCTGTGTGCCCCTGCAGGGCTATGCCCTGAGTGAGTCCCGGGCACCCTCCTGACACAGATGCCCCGCATACTGCGATTGGGAGCAGTCCTGGGCACACTCCTGACACAGGTGCCCCGCACACTGCGATTGGGAGCAGGTCGGTAAGTAAACGGTGCAGGGAAAATTCAGTCTGGAACGTGTGCAACCAAGGATGGGGCTGTCAATGCAAACGTGGGCCGAATCAGGGAAGGTCTTGGCTGCTCTGCTGGGGCCAGGGCTGTGTTCTGCAAACTTTGGGGGTCAGTGAGGGTTTCACGTGCAACTGCAACACAGCGGTGGGTCCCCAGCACAGCTGTCCTTAGGATCATTTGGGAGCTTCTAGAAAGCACTGATAGCTCAGTCCCACCATGCACCAATTCACCCGGAATCTCTGGATGTGATTTTTTTTCTGATATAAAAGAATATTTGCCGGGGACTTCTCATCTGCCACCAGACGGGGAGCCTCTAAAGTTGGGAGGGGAAGATGAGTGACTCAGCTCCTGGCCTGGAGGACAGCAGTATCTGCACCTGGATGGCAGCAGGGAGGTGTTCCCACTGGCGGAGCAGGACCCACGAGCTGGTCACCAGCACAGGAAACTGCCACGGGGGCGTGGGTTTGCAGGTAGCACTACCAAGGCCTGCGTGCGTGGACTGAAATTACAGGGGTCTCTCCATGAGGGGCCACAGCAGACGGCGCCATGCTGTGGAAATTGCCTGCTGCTAGGCTTGGTCACTGCTTGAGTCTACAGGTTACAAAGGCCATCTAAATGTCAACACTCTCAAATAAAGACTGAGGATAATGACACCCACATCCCACGGCTGCTGCATAAACCAAGTCTAATTACACGAGTGAAGGTGCTTCCATCATGCCACGCACAGAGAAAGGGCCCCGTAGAATCATGTGGGTCTGTGATGCAGTCCTGAAACAACCAGTGGGAAGGAGGAGAAGGCAGAGATGGAAGCATAGGTGTGGGCGCTGCAGGGCTCTGGGCAGGTGTGTGGTCCCCTAGAGAGAGCTGCTGCAGGGAAGCGGCTGGGGAGAGAGAGAAATGTGGGGGATCAAAGTGCGGGGCGTGGGGAGAGACCACAGGGTCAGCAACAGGAGGGAGGGTGTGTGGTGTGGGGATCTTCCAAGAGGCCACCCGTCGGTTCTGGCAGTTATTTGGAGACGGAGGGATCTTCCGGGCACCTTACAACTGGCATATACACAGCCAAGAGTCTCTGCCATAGAAGGGACCCCAGAGGCTCTTGTAGAACCCAAGTCGTTATTTTTTAATGGGAAAATAGATCAGGGAGAAGGAGCTGATGATAAATACACTTTCAATTGCTGGGCAGGGAGTGAAATTCAGTATCTCACACATTTTCACTTTTGGTCTTATACCCCTCATGTCTTGGCCAGCAGAATGCAGAGGCACTGTCTGTCTGGAGTCAGAAGCTCTGAGAAGCATGAAGTCTTAGAGCAACGTGACCAATCCATTTCTTTGATTTGGGTGAAGCCATAATCTGTTCCCAAGTTTCATGGCCTGAGAACAGTGGGTGCCACTGCCAAGGAAAATGAAATGTAGCTGGTTGAGTTGCCTCCGTCCTTTAAAGGAGGGCTCCAGCATCCAACCAGTCACAGAGCCCTGGGCTTCAAAATTCTCGTGCACAGTGGGTTCTTTCCAATGCTTTCAGTGTGCTGAATACGTGATTTAGTACTTACGAAAGTTCTCAAAGCTGACTTTTTCGAAATCTCAACTGTGCCATTAGAAAACTCTTCTTTAGCAGAGAAAGCACCCAACACAGATTTGTAACCTCTGGGGATTGCAGAGTTCTGGGAAAGACTGTGAAAGGAAATAAAAAACCAGCTCTCAGGAGCTGCTCAGAGCAGCCAGTGTTGATTGAAGGGATGTCAGCCATTATTCCTAGAAGATAAGTAGATGATCCCTCGTAAGAAAATTCAGTCAGCAAAAATGTATACTTTCTTACATTAAATTCTATAGCACAAAAAAAGGAGTATGTAGTTTTTCTGTGATTGATATTTTCGAAAGTAGGAAGTCATGTTGGTAATCACAGATTACACAGGCTTTAAGCAGAGAGATCACAGTTTGCTGTAGCCATATTTAAAAAATTTGTTTTGCAAACATTTCCCAAGCATTTTTTGGATGCCCTTTTTAAGACACAAGATAAATTGTCATTTCTAACCTTCGGCAACTACAATTCAGACTTTCAATGTCTGAAGGGATGCTTGAGATTGCAAGAGAGGAAACCCATTGTTTTTCTCTCTATGTGGGGCTAACTGAGAAACAAATGTGTTGGTTCACCTAAGCTGGCAAGTTCAGTGGTAGGACTGGCTTCTGGCATGAGAAGTGCAGATATCAAACCGTATCATCAGGAGCTGGGCGATTTTTGCTCTGATTTCTGCTAAGTTGGCTTAGGCTTTAATGTTTGAGTGCTAAGAAATGGAGTCAATGATTCGATCTGTAACCTCCTCTCGGGGTTCAGCTCCAATGAAGAAGATTCTTTTTTCCGAAAGTCGCAATGTCTCATGGCATCTTTTTGGCTCTGGTTGAGTCAGGCGCCCATCGTGGAGTGAACCACTGGAGCTGTGGAGAACGCACCGGGGTCCCTGGCTAGACCTGGGTTGTGTCCTGTATCCCTGGAGCTGACAATGGCATCGCATGCTGGGACACACGGACTGGGAATGAGCGATTCTGCAGAGCTTCCACCACCTGTAAAGTAGCTCCAGAGGAGGGCTGCAGATGCCACAGAACAAAAGAGTTGTCCACTACACTTTCCAAACAGGCAGATTGGGGGGTTCCTATTAGTATCACAGGGGAGGCTTCACTTAACAAAAGGATACTTCAGAGGAGGATTCACTGAAGGCTTCCTTTAAGCAGTTGCCTTTAAATGCAGTTAATCACTTGTTTAGCGATCATTAATGCTTCAGTGGAAAGACTGAGGGAAGAAAGCCTTAAAGCTAAAATGTAAGAGTCACTGTCAATGGAGAATCAATCAAGAAAGAAATAAAACAAATTTGAAATGGTAAGCTAGTCAACTGGAAAATAGAATTTGATTTACATAAAACTTCTCACAAACATGACTATGCATGAAGCAACGTAGTTTCTACTGAGAAAGAAAACTGCACTTATTTACGAATATGTTTAGTGATGGCCTGCGTTCTCGTAAGCAAGCAAAACCATCCTGTGAGTTTTAGTCACCGCTAAGTAAGTGATTAGAGGGCTTCCAACACAGTGCTTCCCCAGGCCTTAACTTTGAGCGAGTCAGCCACTAACCTAACATGTCAACAAAGGGCCACTGAGTTGTTTGGGGTACCTGTTAATATTAGAGACTTTCTGGGATACCTGAGAAGCCCAAGATAGTTCTTGAGATCAGTTCTTGTACTGACTCTTACAGTCTAAACTAGAGTACAGGTGGGATTTTATTTCAGAAAGTTCTTATTACTTACTGACCACTGAATGAATATGAAGCTTCTCACTAACATTAACAAATCACATAGGTCAATGTTCATTTGTTTGGGATGTTTTAGTTCCATTATAATAGAAATTGTTGTCATGTTAACTTATTTTATTTATTTTTTTGTTGTTTATATTTAGTCATTATGTGGACTGGTACATTTGGGTTAGTGGCTCACTTTAATAAAATGTGACTTTTATTATTATTACAAAATACCTGCTTTTGTCCCATTTAGAGCCATTAGGCCTAAATTCTTCACCTTCATTATTTTTCATTCATATCACTATTTTTTCTTTCCATTTTCATGCCTAATATCTATTTGCCTATTCCTTTATTTTCAACTTTTCTTACCACTTTGCTAGGAATCATTTTTTTAATACAACATGGAGAGGATTTTTAAAAACACAGTCTGACAATCTCTGCTTAAATAGGGAAATTTATGTCATTCACATTTAGTGTACTAACTGATATGCTTGACTTTATTCGTCTATCTTACTTTATGTTTACTAAAATATACTTAGCTCTTTTTTTTTGCTTTTCCTTATTTTGGACAGTTTGATTCATTTAATATTTATTTCAATTTTTCCTCTGTTAATTGGCATTTCTGTACTTTTTTGTTCAGCTACTGTTTCCCATTCCTCATTCTTATAATTCATACACTTTTGTTAAATTGCTGAGTAAAAACCAGAAACCAAAGTGCTCTATTCCATTACTCTTTCCTTCAGGCAAAATAAATAATATAAAACAGTTGGATTATTTTATTCTGTTCTCTCCTAATAATTTCTAGTTATAGATAAGATAGTTTAGCATTTTTAGTTCAAAAAATTATTAGAATTTTCCCTGAAGCCTACCTTTTTTCCTCTTAAAACACTATAATCAGCTTTTCATTGCTAATTTTCAATCTTTATTATTATTAATTTGGAATTAACTCTAAAGGCTGCAAGCTCATGGCTACACAATATTTTTTCTCTTATTTACTATATAATTTTTTTAAGTTGGCAACAGATAGGTTGACACTCAAGTTGTTCTATCCATATTATTCTCTATAGTCCCTTCAGAACTATAGATGCAGGTATAATTTCATTATTAATAAAGACAGAATAAAACAACACTGTGTTACCTCTAATCAACTACAAAAAATTATAATGATGACTAATTACCTTTTAATAGTCTATGTTCTAACTTAATCTCTGTGTATTACTAATCAGATTCTACTCTATTAGTATAAACCGCTTCCTACTAGCCTAAATGTGCATGCATATATTTACGCACACACGTGTGTGTGTGTGTGTGTGTGTGTGTGTGTGTGTGTGTGTGTGTGTGTGTGTGTTATGGGTCAGTAGAGAATTTGGGAAACCGAAATGGCTGTGGAGATGGACTTTATGTAAATGATGATTGCAGGCTGTTTAGCTCACTCTATTACGGTTTTGTTGTGAATTTCTCAGTGCTTTTGTTTTTGTTTTTTGCCATACTTTTACAACCTGCCTGTATTTTCGTAAGACACTATCATAAGTATTTTAATCCCTAGCCCATGAGATAGACCTCTTAAGGGCAAAAGTCTGCCTCTTTAGTACCAGGCCTTGCCTATACCAAGAGCTGCATTTATTGACTTTACTTGAAATGTCAGCTTCGGGCATGGAAAGGATGTGTGGGTGAAGTTACTCCTAAGGCTGCCAAACTTCCCGTGGGGTTTCTGACCTCAGTCTCCTGTTCCAGGGAAAGCGTCTTGAGGAGACCACCTCATCTTGCTGGGAAACGGTAAATGCAGAATGAGGTGTGACTGTTCAAACAACCAGGAAGTGGGTGTTCCCTGGACATGGGACTTAGAAGCTAAACCAGGGAGGTCCTGGTAAACCAGGACAGGACATGTTGGTCAGCAGAGTAGAAGAAATCCTCCATGTGGCTTAGCCCCCACAACCCTAGGCACTAGAACTCTGCCCTGGGGAGAGCTCCCCATCCTCTCTCCCCTGGGTGGTGAACAATCCACTCTGCTTTTACCTGAGTCTTTCCAAAGCACTCACATGCAGTGTCAATGCATCCTTCTCATGGCGACCCTGTGGAATCAGGAAGGGAGATGGGACCAACCCCGTGTCACTGATGAGAGAGCTGAACCACAATTGCATCTTGTGCGTTTGCCCCCAGCCCACCCTCCAGAATCTGTTTCCCGAAGGGACAAGTGGGGTTTCTAGTTTGCCAGAAGTAGTCTCTGAGGGTGCTACTATCTTAAGGATAAATGTCACTGACAGAGGCCACTGCTCTGATGAAAATAATCAGGTAATTGAAATGCAGACGCTGATTTTAGAGGAACTTACACAAAATAGGCAGATGAAACAGACGTAACGCGAGTTTTCTGCAAACTCATGTATTTCCTTTCATCACTGTGTCTTATTGTTCCTTCAGAACTGTCAGTGCTTTGACTGGACTTTGCATCTTTGTGCTGGTACTGACAGACAGGAGGCAGGGCCGGGGCGTGGCCGAGCGCAGTCAGAGGCCTGGGGTGGAGCAGGAAAGGCTGGAATGGTGAAGTGGTATCCTGGAATTCCTTTTCCTCTGTTCTTCATAGACCCAGGGATAGGGCAATATGCCATGATTTCATTCATGTCTGCATTCATGTGCTCATTCAATAGATGGTTCTGAACAGGACTGGGAGTTGGGGTGCAGGGATGAATGAGCCCACCCTGGCCGCAGAGCAGCTCAGAACTTGCTCTAGCCCTCCTGAGATGCAGACCAGTCTTTCTCCCGGAGCCACATCTGGGCGCTGAGGCCTGGACTCAGCCATGTTCCTCACTCCAAGTTCATTTGTTTGGGATGGTTTAGTTAGTGTCTGTCTAAAGCCACGTGCCTGGTGTACAGCAGGCTTCCAGGACGTCTCTCCCCAGGCCTGTTCTCACACCGCCTTAAAGACAAGCTCTGAACCAGCAGGCACATTTCATTCAAAGATTGACGGAGGAAAAGCATGTTAGCCTTCGTCCACACGGTCATTGCCCGGAGGTGAGGAGAACGCGGGCCCGTGTGGTTTGCAACGCCCCGCATCCTGCACCTCTGGGGTGTAGGAACAGCTGCTCCCGAGCTCACATGCTTCTGCTAACGGGACTGTCAGCTCCTGGCGTGCTCCCTGTCCTGTGCCTTTGATCACCCAATTAGCCTGCCCTCTGCTTCTGGGATTTTGTGCTTACCCATACAGAAGTGAAAAGTTAAAATACTAAAATTTCCCTTGTTCTTATCTTCTCCCTTTGCAGCTGCCGTTTTCTGGTATTCGAGGGTTTGCAAGTTAAGACCCCTTCTCTTGGGTTGACACCATCCCATGAGCACGAGCCCAGCCCCTAGGAAGGCCGAGCACATGCGTCCTGGTGGACAGCTGCTGTCGATCCATCTGTCAGGCTTGCCATAATGAGCATATGGCTGCAGCTTCCGGAAGCACCGTCAGAGGCGACTCGTTCAGAGCCCGTTTGTTGAGCAGTTACTGTGTTCCCTTCGCCACTCACACTAGGCGCTTTGTCAACGCTCAGTGACCCGACAAGTGGCTTTCTCTCCTTTTCCAAGAACAGAGCCTCAAACTGACATTGTCCTCAGATCCACGGAAAGAATAAACACTAGATCTCATGTATTCAGCACGCTGGAAAGAAAAGCCCATCGACAGTCATTTCCCTCGGCACTCGGAATCTCCGTGCGGTCACGACGCTGTTTCTACTCACCAGCTCACCCTGGGACTGTGAGCTATTAGTTTCTACAAATAATTCCACTCATTGGGTGTCCGGAGAGTCAGGTAATCAAAGTGGACATTTTAAAGCCCAGCCACGGCAGCTTCCTAAGAAATGAGAAAGGGGACGCTTTTGGTTGCTCTGAAAAATCAAAGTCCTAATAGCTTCGTTTTAGTCTGTGCACAAAGCAGCCTCATTATTTTTGAAACATCTGATTTGGAGGCAATTTGTGTAATAAAACATGTAAGCCTGGTTCCCTTGTGACTTTAAGGCTGGAAATTAGACAGTTCACTGTGGGGACATCACCAGAAACGGCCTCACCTATGCTCAGGGCGTCTCCTTCCTCCCAACCTGCTAGAATATTCATTCCTGCACTGGCAATGGGAAAAGGTCAGTGACTTTTCACCTTTTAAAAATGAGTTTCCATGGCAACAAAACCATGATGGGCAATTCACAGTGCAAAACAAAATCAAAGAAGCCCGAAGTCTGGGCACCGCTCAAACTCCAGCCGCTGACACTCGGCAGCCTAACCAGGGTTCACACACACTCGGTGATCCCCCGGCTAAACAAAAGCGGGTTCAGAAGCTGAGTAGGACCCTGCGCCTGCCATCCCGCCTTGCTGCAAACACTTGAGATTAAAATTTTAGTTTCATGACTTAGTCCTTCAACATATGGCAGGTGGCTTTCAAACAAAGTGAACGGGAAAGAATAATTGGCCGATGGGAGACGGGAGAGACAAACGTGTCCCCGGCACCCCTGCTTCTCACAGCCCAGGTTTGTCGGGAAAATGCACAGTCTCTGTTGCTCTTGTGGTTTTGGGGGTGGCTTTTGTTTGTGACATTTAATTACACTGGTAGATCCTAACGAAGTACACAATTTATAGACTCCTGTTTCTCATGGAGGAGGCAGAAAGTGATCTATTTGCAGGAGTTACGTATTTTTTCAGGCACTTTGCGGAGACACCCCAACCCCCCTCGGCTGCTGACTGTAAAATAAGAAAACTATTACCCAGCTGGGGCAACAATGGACTCCCACAGTGCCTTTCTGCCTAGCTCACAGCTGCAGGAAAGTGGAGACTCAGCGGCAGGCAGCATTCTTCCCGCAGCCCCTTCTGTGGGCAGGAGCCCTCCCACTGATCCAATGTATTTCTATGCAAAACGCAGAAGAAGTGACATTTTAAAAGTTTTGACCTTTGTTTTTTTTTTTCGTTGTTTTTTTTTTGCATGAACCGAAGCATACATTTTTTAAACCTTCTGACAGGGTGTCTGTTAGAAACAGCAATAGCCATTACTGTAATAATAAAATGTTTCAAAATTTGAAAATTCTATATTCAATGTAATGCGCAGATAACCTTTGTCTAGAGAATGGTAGTGATGGGGGCTTCGAACCACTTTCTTTTTGTTCCAGGAAAACAGATTACGACAGATTTCAGGCATATTTAGAAAACAATATCCCTGGACGCAATGTTTTCATTTGCTAATTTCAGACTTCCAGGATTTTTTTTCCCAGAAAGGATTTGGAGGAGTTTTGCATTTATACCATATGGCGTTTCCATTTAATACTAACAGTAATGTTATTTGTTCAGAAAGCCATTCTTTGCATTAAAAAAGCATTATTTCTAGATTCTAGTTTTTATGCCAACATATTTAGGTAGGGTTTTTTTTTTTTTTGAAAAAAGTGTAACTTTTACTTGAATCCAAAGTCTCTTTAAAAAAACAAAAAGAACAACAAAATAACCAAGGCACAAAATGACAGAGACCTTTCTTTTAAAGACCTTCCAATTGCTAAGGTCCACGAATGGGAGGAGGGCGCCAGTAAAAAGATACAACAAAAGAAAATTAGAGCAAATGTGACATCGAATCATTTACAACTAAAGACAGGTGAGTGGGAAGGAGATGAGATCCGAAGTCTCAAGTTAGACTATTATGTGGCTTTTGAGCCTCAGACTCAAAAGATGCAGGATGGGGAGTGGCTGTTGAGACAATGGGAGGGTGGGGGTACTCAGCCTCAGGAGTACTCAGCCTCAGGGGTACTCAGTCTTAGGGGTACTCAGCCTCAGGAGTACTCAGCCTCAGGGGTACTCAGTCTTAGGGGTACTCAGCCTCAGGAGTACTCAGCCTCAGGGGTACTCAGCCTCAGGGGTACTCAGTCTTAGGGGTATTCAGCCTCAGGAGTACTCAGCCTCAGGGGTACTCAGCCTCAGGAGTACTCAGCCTCAGGGGCACTCAGCCTCAGGGGTACTCAGTCTTAGGGGTACTGAGCCTCAGGCAGGCCTTGAGCACCTGGAGTTTCCTAACTCACCCAGCCGATTGTCATCATCAGATTTTAACTTTTAAGACTTTTTAACTTTTTTTTAACTTTTAAGTGAGCATTTATCCTTACTAAGGTGCTCAGAAATAAATGTTCTAGACCCTTCTTGGCTGTGCTGAAGCCTACTTAATACAAGCAATCATCTACTCCCACCACCTGATGGGTTCTTCCTGTCCATTGCACAGACAACGTCGGGCACTGCAATAAAGAAAGAGTTGAATGGACAGAGGCCAGCCACACCACGCAGGAGACTGGGTTATCACCCAAATCCGTCTCCCCAGAGGCTTGGAGGTTAGGGGTTTTCAGATAGCTTCGTGGTGAGGAGACAGGGAATGGGTGCTGCCGATCGGCTGGGGATGAAGGCACAGGGGTGTGGAAACGTTCCTCGCACACTGAGTCCACGTCTGAGCAGAATCCGCAGAGCAGCCGCACCTCGGGTCACCCGTCAGGCAGAGTTAGTCGCTCAGAAGCGCAAAACCTGAAAAGGCATCTCCGAAGGCCAACCCGAGGCTCTGCAGGAGTGATGCTGTCTGCGGCATGACTGGGGAAGCCACCGTCCTGTGGCCTCAGGAACGATGGCTGGTTGTCATTGAACGCCATCTTAGCAGAACTCCACCGCTCTCCCAGTCCTAACGTTGTGGCCTTTTATTTAGTTTTAAAAGGTGGTTTTGTGAAGAGGTACTGTCATCCTTACTTTAAGGTTAAACTATAAACTAAATTCCTCCCAAAGTCAGGTTGGCCTACACCCAGGTGTGACCAGAGGCAGACTGAGGTTAGAAGCAAGATGAAGCCAATGATGCCAGGTTTCTCTTAATGTCACAGTTTTGTGAAGGGGATTCAAAGCAAAGTGTTATGTTTCAATACAGGTCTGGGCACCAGCAGTCTGGGGCTGAGATTTAAATTCTATGTCTGCCATTACTTCTTGCTTTTTGGGCTGGTCTCCTAACTTTTTATCCTCTCTTCCCTGAATATGGATGCAACAGCAACCATTACTGCCATCACACGACAGCCAGTGGACACCTGGTCAGTGTGAACTGCTAAATTGACAGGACTGCTTTCGCTACATCACGTAATCGTTAAAAATACTGCAGACATCCGTGTGCATGTGTCCTTATAGTAGAATGATTTGTAATCCTTTGGATATATACCCAGTAATGGGATTGCTGGGACAAATGGAATTTCTATTTCTAGGCCCTTGAGGAATCGCCACACTGTCTTCCACAATGGTTGAACTAATTTACACTCCCACCAACGGTGTAAAAGTGTTCCTATTTCTCCACAACCTCTCCAGCATCTGTTGTCTCCAGGTTTTTTAATGATCGCCATTCTAACTGGTGTGAGGTGGTATCTCAATGTAGTTTTGATTTGCATTTCTCTGATGACCAGTGATGATGACCATTTTTTCATATGTTTGTTGGCTATGCAACAATCTTGCGTGTTCTTCACATGTACCCCAAAACCTAAAATGCAATAAAATAAATAAATGGGAAAAAAAAAGAAAAACTCCCCTTTCCTGAAAAAAAAAATACTGCAGACATCAAGAGCATGATTTAATTTAGAAAATTCAGACTGTGTCCACAGCACCCAAACCATTTGCCAACTCAAACTCATTCAAGTAAAAAAAAAATCAGTCGAGCTGGCACAATGCATTTATGAAAAATTTGTATTGTATATGAGAAAACCCTTTTTATGATCTTATAAAGGGAAACACTTTAGCACTACAATGACATTTTAAAACTCATTCATTTTCTTGAGAAGTTCAAATCATGGAATGTTAGGGTTTACACTAGTCAGCCTCGCCCAGAGTCACGGAGACAGAGCAGAGGCAGAACTGGGGGCACACCCAGAGTCCTCTTCCTGAATGCCCTGGAGCTCCTCTCTCCTGCCACTCCCCTCCTTCTCCTCCCCTCTTCCTCCTCCCGGCTTCTCCTCTTCTTCCTCCTCCTCCTCCTCCTCCTCCTCGTCATTTTGCTGAAACTTCAATCGCAGCGGCTGACAGTGAAGCCCAGCAGGACAGGACGGGCCGCCTCCTTCCTCGCCCGCTCTTTCTGTGCCCCTGCCCCCTGTGCTCACGGCAGCAGCCATTTGCACACCTCTCACCTTCAGAGCGTGCATCAGCAAAGGAACACCCACTGGAAGGAGCTCGCTGCAGATCAGAGCCCAGGACGCTGCCCAGGTGGTGGTGAGGGGCCCCGAGGACCCATCTGTGGCCCAGCAGCACGACTTGGGTCACCACCCAGGGCACAGGCAGGCCCGGCAGCTAAGGAAATCGCAGAGGCCTCCTCCTGGAAGCCTGCTCCTCATTATTTCCGACCATTAATCTATTCAGGCAAATTCCAAACATATGATTTCCTGAATTGCAGGCCCTC